CAGCTGGAACTACAGGCATGAGCCACCATGCTCAGCTAATTTTTAGATTTATTGTAGAGGTGAGGTCTTGCCAAGTTGCCCAGGTTGGTCTCAAACCCATGAGCTCAGGCAATCCTTTCACCTCAGCCTCCCAAAGTGCTGGGATTATAGGCATGAGTCACCATGCCTGACTTAGAATTTTCAAGATATGGAATCATATAGTCCACAAAAAGGAACAGCTTGACTTCTTCTTTTCCATATTTGAATACCCCTGATTTTCTTCTCTTGCCTGATTGCTCTGGCTAGGACTTCCAACACTATGATGAACAGGGGGAATGAGAGTGGGCTTCCTTGTCTTGTTCCTGTTCTCAGGAGAGTGCTTCCAATTTCTGCCCACTGAGCAAAATGTTGGCTTTGGTTTATCATAGATGGTTCTTACTGTTTGAGGAAAATTCCTTCTCTGCCTAGATGCTCAAGAGTTTTTATCAAGAAGGGATGCTGGATTTTGTTGAATTATTTTTCTGTATCTAATGATATAATTATGTGTTTCTTGGTTTTACATCTGTTGATGTGCTGAATTATGTTACGGTCTTGTGAATGTTAAACCAGCTCTGTATCCCAGGTGTGAAGCCCACTTGATCATGGTGGATGGTCTTCAAGATGTGTTACTGGATCTGAATTGCTAGAATTTTATTTAGAAATTTTGCATCTATGTTCATCAAGATTGGTCTGTAATTCTCTTTCCTTGTTGGGTCTTTGCCAGGTCTGGGTATCAGCATAATGTTTACTTTATAAAATGAATTGGGTAGCATTTCATCTTTCTTGATTGCCCAGAATACTTTCAATAAGTTTGGTTTCAGCTCCTCCTTGGGTGTCTTGTAAAATTTAGCTGGCAGGCCATCAATAAGTAGATTTCTTATGACTGAGTTGATTTCTTAGGATTGTTATTGGTCTGCTTAGCATTCAATTTCTTCTTGTTTAAACCTGGGAAGGTGATGGGAGATCAGAAAGTGCTTCATTTCCTTTAGGTTTTTTAGCTTAGTTGCATACAGGTTTTTATAGTAATCTCTGATAATCATTTTAACTTCTTCAGGGTCAGTTGCGACCCTTTGCATTTCTAATTGTATTTATCTGGGTTGCTCTCTTTTTAAAAAATTTAATCTGGCTAGGGGACCATCAATCTTGTTTCAATGAACCAGCTTGTGTCCTTCTTCATTTTTTCTTTCTTTCTCTTTCTTTCTTTCTTTCTCTCACTCTCTCTCTTTCTCTCTCTTTCTTGCTTTCTTCCTTTTTAAACTAGTATGTTTTATAAAACTATATAAATTTTCCAAGTAATCAAAAATCAGTTCTCATTACAAATATTTAAAGCAATTTTTAAAAAGTCACACAATTACACTGTAAGATTACAATGTTTAATGTTTATCAACTTACATTTCTATAGCTAGCAGGATTAGCAGATGAGTCACTGGGATTCAGATCATATCCTAGGGAATGTTTATTGAGCTATCCCAAAGACACCACAAGCCAAACAGCTTCCAGCATTTCCAGTTTTTGTACTTTCTTCATTTCCACCTTTGCCCAAGTTATCTGGTTTTTCATGGACCACCATTGTGCGACCAATGATGGAATGGTCTCCTGAGAGTGAGATCAGAGAATCTTCAATCAAAACATCAGCCACACAATCATTGCCATCAATTACATTACCCAGGTCTCCAACATGACTTTCCTAGATCTTTGGCCCACTGTGTTTTTTGGATAGAGGATTAAAGGAAGGACCTGCATTGATACCGTCTTGCATGTTGTCTTCAAACTGATGAATGTGGAATCCATGCTAGCCCTCAGTCAATCCTATAATATGTCCCAGTACCATAACTGACTCATTTTTCTTCTACTCAAAATGGAAGATGTCCTGCACCAGGGTGTCATTCTTCATCACAAACATGGCTTTCATCGGCATAACAGGAGGGGTGACATGCTCCAGTCTCAGCTGTGAGAGTGGCAAGGGAAACTGGCAATGCTGCAGGAGACAGTAGCACACTTGTTGGTCCTTTCTATGATAATTTTGTCTTCTATAACCTGCAACTCTGATTTTATATTGGTGATCTAAATTCTTCTGCTGTGCTTAGGATTTAGGTGATCTTGTTTTTCCAACTCCTTTATGTGTGACTTTAGGTTATCTAGCTATAATATTTCTGTTTTCTTCATTTGTGCATGCAGTGCTATGAATTTTCCTCTTAACATTGCTTTATTGGCATCCCAGAGATTCTGGTAAGATGTGTCTTTGATTTTTGTTTGTTTACAGGAATTTTTTTATTTCTCTCTTGAGTTCCATGCTGACTCAGAAGTCATTCAATAGCATATTGTTTAGACTTCATATCTTTATGTGTTTTGGGAGGATCTTCTTGGTGCCAATATTTATTTTTCTTCCACTGTGATCTGAGAGGATGCATGGTATCTTTTGAAATTTTCTCATGCTTGACCTATGTTCAAGAATGTGATTAATATTGAAATATGTTTCATGTGCTGATAAAGAAAAAGTATACTCAGTATTTGTTGGGTGAAGTTTCTGTAGATGTCTAGTAAGTTCAGTTGATTGAGCATTGAAGTTCTGGATCTCCTTGTTGGGTTTTGTTGCCTTGATGATCTATATGTCTAAAGCTGTTAACAGTATATTTATGTCTCCTACTATGATTGTATGAGAGTCAATGTCCTCTTTTGATTTGCTTAGTAGTTGTCTTATAAAACCTGGTGCTCTATTGTTGCGTGCATATATGTTTAGGATGGATATTTCTTTCTGGTGGATTGAGTCTTTTATCATTATGCAGTGTCCTTCTTCCAAGTGTTTTTTAATTTTTGATGACTTGAAAACTGCTTTGTTAGATATTAGAACAGTTACACCTGCTTTCTTCTGTTTTCCATTTACCTGAAATGTTGTTTTCTAGCCTCCAACCTTGATTCTGAGTCTTTTGCAGTGAGATGAGTTTCTTGGAGGCAGCAGATTGTGGGATCATTTTTTTTTAATCCAGAGTGCCAGTCTACATATCTACAGTGGTACAATACCTGCAGTGATACATTTAGTCCATTCATGTTCAAGTTGCTTGTTGCCATGTGAGTTTATCCTTGTCATAGGACTCTATGGGATTGCTTTGTTTACTTTTAACTTTTGCATTTGTGTGTGTGTGTGTGTGTGTGTGTGTGTGTGTGTGTGTGTGT